GGGGGGGGGGGAGGAGGAAGAGGAGGGTCATGATCTTCGGGGGTGCAAAGGAGCTACAGTACATGTAAATAAGAAATATGTTGACTCATATGACCTTGGAACTTCATGAGTAATGCATGGTTGGTAGGCATGTGCTGCTATGACTTTCTCTCACTGCCAAGTAGTTCATGCCTAGTGTTGTGTGTTCAACTTACGACTGAACCTTATATGTTACTCAAGTTGGTTTAATGTGTTCTTCTCTCCCATGAGGGATTTTCTCTGGATTTTAAAAATCAACATGAGAGATGAGGCAGTAAGCCATGTATTACGCATGTTCTTATAAAAATCAACATGTAAGCTGAGTGCCTAGTGTGTTGTAAATAGTCAGCAGAGTGGAAGTGTGTTTGGAGCAAACCTCTCCGGGAGTCATTATGGACCTTGGAGAATGTCATACTTACTGTAGCAATGATGAACTGAGCAATCCCATAAGTCCATTGTGCCAGGAGACAAGATGCAAACAGGAAGAAGAAGAAAAATGACAAAGCATAGCTGAGAAGGAAAATCCACTAGAAAACAAGACAAAGCAAAACAGAATTATTTTTGGTTAAGTATTAAATTTTAGATAACACAATGGGTGGCATAATTGTTTACTGCTCACCTCTCACCGCTGTTGTCTGGGTTCAAGCATTCTTTTTGCTAATAGGTGGACACATAGTATTAATAGACATTGTCGTTGTTTGGTTGTCCAATACATTTCTGATTGGTAATTTAAATAACAATCAACCAAAAAAATATGTCATACTATATGTCCACTTATAGTGTCACCAATTCTGTCATTAAAAAATTCTGAAAGCAGTGAATTTTGATTGACAGATGCCAAATACCCAGACATTGTACTACACTGATCACAAATTGATAATGAGTAGTGGTTACTTGTTGGGTCTACACGTGTTGAATACAACAAGTGAATGAGAAGGAAACATAGATATTCCGAATATAAAAAAGTTTGTAACTTACTATACTCTCTGACATTTTGGAAGTTAGCCCTTCGTCTGACAAAACATCAGTATGTAGTTATAAAACTCTTTTACATGGTCTTTAAATTTTATCCTTCTTATTCACTTACCCATCACAAAGTAGTGTACTATCAAGCACTGAATATCAGTGATGATCTTGGATCACTTATCAAAAACTACTTTCACTTACCAAAGAGTACTCCTTCTGCCATTTACCAAGGCAACAGACATAACAACAGCCAAACAAATGGAATAACAGAAGAATCAAAGCACAAATCCAACACAATGCACTGACAACAATGAAGAATCCATAGTGGGAGAACAGCTCTGCTTTCTCATGACCAAGCACCAGTGCAAAAGCAATGAGACCGAGAATCTAGAGGGAAAAAGTTGAAAAGATTGGTTACAAAAAAAGGAGATAAATATCTATAGCCAAGTTTTTAATAGAATTAAGCAAATATAAACTCTAAGTACCCGAGAGTTTTGTTGTTTGTTTCATGATTGTGCATTTTAGAACAACACTGTTACATACATCACATTATGTAATTCACATTACATACATTTTACTATGGGGGCTTGTAAGCAATACAGCAGTGACTTATATAATAGCTGTTATTACAGTTAAGTATCTTGATTATAGTATTAATTAAACAACTATAGGTTCCATCCCTTTATCTTGAACCCAGAATGTTAATTAACTTTAAATATTTACAAATCGAGGCAAGCTCTCTGTCATGGACCCTCAACACTCGTACTACTACCTACTTTTGTTCATTGCTATTTAGTACAAAATAGTGCTTTTATCGCAATTAATTATATGACACACTCAATTGCCCATGTATTATGACCATTACAAGAGATAATACATGGGCTGTGAACCGATTTAGACCCGGTTTTTTGATGATGTCAGCATGAGGAAAAATATTTATCCTTTTTGTTTCTGCAGCCCATGTCAGTGGCTTGAGTTAGTGACATTCAAGCTTGCTTGTTTACAATAAAAACATTGCTATAGTTGTGTATAATTTTTACAGCCAGATTTTTCACTTGTGAAGCAGTATCCTTTCTATCCTTTCAAGGCTCTAAAAAATACAGCTTGCGTTCACTAGTAACATTATCTGCCTGTAATATATAAAAGAGTTTGTTAAAATAAAATAATCTTGGAGCCCATGCTGAGATAACAGGTACAATAATTCTTTATAATTGTATAAAAACTATTAACAAAAGTTCAAAATATCCTTATTGAATAATGAATATCTTAGGAATAATTTTATAAATGACATTTTTCTATACGTAATAAGTTAATGGTTGATTAATCAAGATTAATTGCATTCCACTGACGCATGAGTATAAAAGGTCTTGAATATTCTAATGCAATTTTACCAAAATAAAGAAAATTCAGCAAAAAAATTACCAAAGTCCAATACATCAGTATCAAGGTAAATGAAATATTCTAAAAGTTAAGAAAGAGTTTGACAAATGAGTGRATTTATGCCTCATATTGGGCGCGGCATTAGTACATATTTGGAATGGTTTAATATTCAGAACACAGAAACTCTTGATGAAGCAAATTTCAAAAGTATCTGTGATTATAAAGGTAGTTTAGATAACTGTTTCTTCAAATGTAGGAGATGAATATGACTCTGTTGAAGAGAATTATCGTTATTATGGAATGAGAATATACTTACGAACTCAAGGATCTTGAGAAAGCCTTCAAATGTCATGAAAAATCCCGGCCAACAACCGTAGCCCCTGTTCTCACTATTAGCCATATTTTTCTATATAAATGAAAACATATCAAAGAAAAATCAACCAAAAATCCTTCCAGGAACACAATTATTAAATTCGAAAAGCAATCCTTATTTTTTATAGCATTTACGGTTGTTTACATTAGTCAAAACAAAATTTTATGCACGACATTTGTGCAGAATATGTGTAGAAAGTTTGAAGACAAATACTTTTCGCTTTAAATATATTTCGATTTTGTTTTTAATATTCGAGATCGTTAGCATGAATAAGGTTTTATATAAATTAGGAAGAATAAATTCAATTGAGGTATTTACAAGCAAACAGATCGAGTGAGAGAGCAGACAACAAGCTCGTTTGGTGCTCAGGATGACAGTCGAGTCTGTTTACGGCGTCCTTCTTGTCGACGAACTAACCGCTCAAAAACATCAATCAAAAATACTTTTTCATCAACAATTATGAAACAAAACTCCTTTAGAACTCTCTTACCTTGAACAGCAATAAAATTTAAGTCCTCTTTCCTCAAGAAAACCAACCGAACGACAGCAAGAAAATTCGAACCTCCAAAATGAACTGGAATTTTCTTGTGGAGTGTTCTTGTTCAGCGGCTTCACGCTCAAGCGGGTTTAATGTCATTAATATTTATTAGTAGTTATTAGTTCTGGGAGAGCGAGTTTTAACAAGAGGAGGCATGATAAATGAGAATTTCAAGACTTAAATATGACGTCTGTGGATGAAAACCTCGGCCATAGAATGGACAAGATGATGATCCAATATTGCATCTGGATTTTTCTTTATTTTAAGCATGCGTAATTGTGTCTAAAATTTCGCGTATGCCGATGAACTAGTGAACTAGTTAAAAAGACTAGTAAACATAATAAAAATTAGTAGCAATAAACAGATATCTAGAGGAGCCTTTTAGCCTTTATTTCGATAAAGAAAAGGAGTTAAACGACTCATTTGGACTTTTTTGGGTAGGGGTAGGGTGGAATAAAATCGTGCGCCGAGAGGTGCGACGAAGGAGTGACAAAAAACGTGGGATTAGCTATATTAGCAATTAATCATGTAATAAATCATTTTATTACATGACGCTTTTTGTTTTTGAATGTCTTTGTGTGTACCTTTTGTTGTGTTTAATCCTATTCGTGAGCTAGAGACTTCTTCACATGCAAGTCAAATTTGAGGGAAGATGGAAAGTTGCGTGTCCACGCGCGACATTGACACAGAATGAGAGGCCTTTTAGCAAAACTGACACGACTAAAAAACTTGGCGTGTTTTTATTTACTTTAATTGTTTTATTTAAGTTAGCTTTCATGATTCAAAATGATTTCAATACAAAACGACTCAGGACCAAGGCTGGTCAGCAGGTTGCGGGGGGTTGGGGGCGAGAAAGAAAGAAAGATGCCGACCGAAGGGGCCACCGAAGGGCCTCCTGTGTTTTTATGTCATTCTCCTATCTTACTCAAGAAAAATAGAAATAGTGCTTTAGAATTCATATCTAGAATGTGGTTTTTATATATTAAAGAACGTGAAAGATAATTAAATACACAGGTGAAACCTAAGAGGACCACGACAACTCATTCAACTGAGCAGTTAGATGATAAATAAGAGCTGTGTGAGCGACAGTGTTACAGCATGTAAATGGAATTCAAGATTTGAGATAAAGCGCGCGCGCTGATTGGCTGGCTACCGTGTTGTATCGTGTTAGACGAGAGACAGGTTCGCGCAAAATCGTTCAAAGATATTTTATAAAAGCACTCTATATGAAACGGCTGTTTATGTTTAAAGCTAGAAAAACACTTGGCTACGCCTCGCGTGTTCCTAAGCTTGCTTTTCTCGTCTTTCGTGCGCTACAGTTCCCAGCATGCCCAGCTTATATTGATGGTTTTCACGGCGGCCATGTTTGAGGAACTTAGCAAAAGAATTGTCAATGAATTCTTTTGTTATATCCTCCAACATGGCCGCCGTGTCTTTTGTTATTTAATTCTCTTGGGAATGATTGAAAACCATCAATATATTACAGCACAGAGGCGCGCTTTTCGTATACCTCATATAGGGGATTCATGCACCCGAAAATGGTTTTGTATCCCATAATGAACCAAATAGAAAGGCTTCAAGTAGTTACCAGAGCGTTTCAAATTGGGATTTTTCTTCTCCTTACTTAGTTAATTACGTATATATAGCATTACAGTTATTCAGAAAATCGAAACTCAATAACGCTACTGAAGTAGCGGAAAAGCAGATATGAAGCAGTCTTCCTGAATGATAACTAGTAATATATTTTGTTGATGTTATAATTAGAAACTATAGAAAAAAATATAATAAAAAATATGACACGCTATTTGCCTAGTTTTCACATTATTTTCAAAAAATTAACCATAAACAATGTAATAAAATGAATTGAATTAAGAGTCGATGGAGTCTATATTGCTAGCATCAAGATGGCTTTTTGGTATTTTTTATAAAGGGCTGGAGATGGTCTTTGGATATTTTAATGGCGATACATTGGAAGCCTTTTTTGTGAATGGGGATCTCAGATACTACAGTCCATTGGTCATTGGAAGGGTTATATCGCTCTATTGTGTCCAAGTATCGTTTGCCATAAAAGTCTCTTCCTCCAATGACGTATGCGTTACCATCAACTGCCACTGCCTGTGCGTTTTGACGAAACTCCGTCATATCTAGAAGATGAACAAACAATAGAAAGTAGAGATAAATAATGATAGACTTCATTCGGTGTAAAAAAGATGTAAGATGGTTCATCATCATTTATATCTGTGATTAACGAAATTCTATAATAGAAAGTGTATTTTCACTAGCGCGCAACTTACATTCTCGCTTTTCTTTCATCCATCCACTTTCAGGACCCACTTAACGCCGCAAAAAAACAGCTCTAAATATTGCGGCGTCTCATTCTCAAGATTATGCTAAAATAACTTACCTGCGATCGGCTTCCATTGATGCCGTCCAATATCATAAGCTTCGCACTGCTTCATCGTGTGGTACCCATTTGAGCCACCAAAAACAAGGATCCTATCATTTAACAATACTGCGCATGCGCCCACTTTACCACAGCTCATAGGTAAGACAAAGCTCCATGTATCACTTGACGGGTCGTACCGCTCAACACTTATCACGGGCTCAATCTCGTGGCCGTCTCCTCCAATGACGTAGAGATGTGTTTCCGTGGTAACCAACGTGTGGTTGGATCTTGGGATGGCTGGTTTGGGTAGGAAGGCCCATCGGTCACTAACAGGGTTATAGACTTCTACTGCATTCCATTTGGGTCCATTCATCATTCCACCTACAGGACAGATATTGAATAAAGGCCCTGAAAAACGGTCCCAACATTTGACCTAACATTTAGTCAGCATTTGTTTGGTCAAAAATTGGGACCTATTGAATAATAGCTCGAGTATATATGTGAGGTCGGGGACGGGAGGCCAAACGGTTCAGCGCTGATAGCTAATTGGCGTGATTTCTACAGCAATATGGAGGCAAAGCAACGAACGTTGTGACCCAAGCTAGTTCCTAGAAATTGGTAATTGTTTGAGTGTTTGAATGGCGAAGCTAAATAAATAAATAAAATAAAATACGGTTGCCATGCATACCAAATTTATACTATACCTATTGACACGAGTGGTGTCATATCAACCCTGCCTCCCGTTGGCTGCACGTAATGATCAATACGATGATTATCATGATCCATGATTTACCTATTGCATAGAGAAGACCATCGTGGCCACCAGCCGCAAACTGTGCTCGTTCCTCTTTCATCGAAGCCACACTTGACCACTGGTTGTACTGAGGATCAAATACAAAAACGTCTTTTTGAAGTAACAATGAAGATCTTCCTTCCACTGATCCTCCGCACGAAAACACCAAGCCGTCAGCAGAGGCAACGCTATGGTCATATAAGACTGTCCTAAAACAAGAAGACAGGCAGAGTTTAGGTTATTTGTAGTTATAAAGTGCGCTTTGTAAAACTAAGTAAAACGTACGTACCACTGCTGAGCTTTAAACTTTCATAAAAAATAATATTCAAAAAATAGAAAAGAAAGGATTATTGCAAAATTTATATTTATTTAATTTTACTGTTATTATTATTATTATTATTATTATTATTAT